ATTTCAAGAAATTATCTACTCATACAAAATTATTACAAAAACTTAAACTATCGAAAATTGTGCTCAGCATGGGTAGCAAAGAGTGTGACTGGGGCATAAAACAAATGTTAAAGTGGTGACTTGTTTTTATTTGTTTTTTTTATGAGTACCTCATTAGTTAACAATAATTATTACAGAAAGAAGAAGTATACAAGTAATCTAAATACTAATAAATTTAATAGAGATACATCTTGTGATAAATTAATAACAAACTATAATAGAGACAAAGAATTACATTAACAATGTTAAAAAGTATACAAAAAATATAAAAAAATTCGCAAAACAATTGGGGCAATTTGCTCTTTAAGGTTCTTAGTATTTAAGTCAATGTTAACTTTATTCCCACTACACAGAATCCTTGAAATGTTAAAAATTTACTATAATTACATCTATATGGTAGTTAATAGCAAAAGTTATATTACTGTGCATGTTCCTTGGAGATGTATGTAAAGTAACTTAAGAAAATAATTGTGCACAGTCAAGGTTAGAATGAAGTACTTTAGATATGGCCCTAAGAATACTAATGGGCCAACCATTACTGATATTAGTTAGATCACCAGACTTAAAAATTGGTGTGACAAAACTAGTTTTCATAATAATGGACAATCGCAAAGATCTAGAAAAATTTTAAAATACTAGGTATTCAATGCAAGACAAGACAGTTAAGATTTGATTTCACATATAGTGCGTTTGTATCTTCTTCTTCTGGTTCCTATCCGTTTCGGATGTTGGAAATCATATTGGCAATCATAACCTTGCTCGCTGCGGCTCGAAACACCTCCGTTGAGGTTTTCTTAAACCGTGTTCTTAAATTCCGCAGCCATGATATTCTCCTTCTACCGGGTCCTCGCTTACCTGTGACTTTACCTTTCAATATAGAGTGTAGCAGGGAGTAACGGTGCTGATTTCTCATAACGTGTCCCAGATATTGCAATTTTATGCGTTTGATCGTAAACACAATCTCTGGTTCCTTCTTCATTTTTCCTAGAACTTCCTTGTTCGTGATCCTTGCTACCCATGATATTCTCAGCATTCTTCTATAAAGCCACATCTCAAATGCTTAAAGTTTTTTAATAGTGGTCTCTGTAAGCGTACATGACTCCGCCCCGTACAACAACACAGAGAAAACATAGCATCTCAAATGTCTCATTTTTGTATCAAGGGATATGTTGTGACTTTTGAAGATGGCGCTCATTTTGTTAAAGACTGTTGTTGCCTTTCCTATGCGGCACTTTATTTCCTGTAAATTGCTCCACTGTTCGTTAATAATAGTTCCCAGGTAACAATACTGTTTTACTCGCTCTATCTGCGTCCCATTAATGTATAGGTAGATGAGCCCCATTTATATTATCCTTGCTGATAATCATTTGTTTCGTTTTGTGGGTATTAATGTTTAGTCCGTACTGTTGACTGTACTCGTTTATTCTGTCCATTAGCCTCTGAAGTCCCTCTAAACTGTCTGCTATCACCATGGTGTCGTCGGCATATCTAACATTGTTTACTCTTTCACCATTTAGAAGGATGCCTTCGTCTATTCCGTAAAGAGCCTCGTTAAAAATTTTCTCTGAGTACATATTAAATATCAACGGCGATAGGATACATCCCTGTCTAACTCCACGTAGTATTTTTATGTGATGTTTCTTCTCCGTTATTTTTCATGTATGCGGTCTGATTCCAGTAGAGTTCTGAAATTATTCTGAGGTCTTTGTCATCCAGGTCTGCCTCTTTTAAAATGTTTATCATCTTTTGTTGTTGAACTCTGTCAAATGTCTTTTCATAGTCGATCAAGCACGCGTATACGTCGCAGTTAACGTCCCTGCATCTTTGAATCAGTATACTTCATCTAATTTACTTACCGTTGCACGTCATTATCATTGACAGAGATCGAAGTTGACATAGTTGCCAAAGTATAAAAAAATCCTGACTCCATTTTAAATCAAATAGGTCACATAATTATTGCAAAAGTATTACAATCTCTTTACAACGACTATTTAAATTCTTACGTGACATTTTTTAAATAAAACACACTAATTTTGTTCTAAAAAGAACAGATTTTATTAAATAGGTAAAAATATAGAACAAGAGGTATTCACTTTAAAATTCAAAATAATAAGACTGCAACTGTCAAATAAGTGTTACCAATTTATGCCAAAATATCACCTTCGTTCGATTACAGTTACAGTGTGTTCCGAACAAATATTCTTCATAAAAACGTTTTATAATGCATTTATATAAATTAAATGAAACATATTATTGTGTATTTCTTTAAGTTAACATTAATAGTAATCTTTAAATATTATTTCTACGCGTATATAATAAAATATGTCTAGTGGCTGTAATTCCAGTGTACTCGGCAAAGGAATTCTAAAAAAGAACACACCTACCGCCTAAATATTTCATGTTGGTATCATGTGACATCACGGGCTATGACGCCGATGACGTGCATCGGTATGTAAATTAGATGAAGTATATATCTGCTTATACGTATTTCACCCTAAAAGGGATTTTCGGAGCGGTTATTCAAAGACGCTCTGAAAGTGAAAACAAATCTTTCCTGTAGTAGTAGAAGCAACATTAAAATGGCTTCGTATGGACGCAAATAGCGACATCTGATAATAAATCCGTAAACTAATTTTTCGAAACCAAATTCAGATTTCTGCTTTAATCGGTGCCTTCTAAGAATTGCAAGGCAAAACAGACGTTGATAAAGATGTAATTAGAGACATGGGGAATCTCAAATTGCATTTCACAACATATCTCCTAAGCAAAAATCCTTAGCGAATTGGTTTCTAGTTTCTAGTATATCGAAATAATTATTTCGATATACTCTTTATGAGTACTAGCTGAGCATTTTTGCTTAGTTGAGGATATATATTATGGAATGCAATTTCAAGATTCCCCATGTCTCTAATTACATCTTTATCAACGTCTGTTTTGCCTTGCAATGCTTGCAATTCTTAGAAGGCACAGATTAAAGCAGAAATCTGAATTTGGTTTCGAAAAATTAGTTTACTATTTAATTTAAAACAAAAGGCGGAGTATGCTGAGTAAGAGGATCATTTGATGCTTGATAATGATCATCTAAATGAACTCAAGATTTCATCGCATCATTCGGTTGGTAAACAATTGATTCTCCATCCAGCTCCGATCCACCGTCCAGTAACTAGCTCGTTTTTCTGCAAATGAAGAAGTATCTTAGAGATCAACGCTGAGAGGATGACTATTGCCTCAATAAGCTCATGTTGCATGATGGTAAATCTTCAAAGACTGTACCAGGCGGTGTCCTGTTAAGAATGCCCTGGCGTGTGTTGGATTCAGGGTGGAAGGCTCCATTCGCACGTAGTCCTAGAGGAGTCGTGCTCACAGATGCAACCATAGCTCGCTGCCTACCAACTAAATTCCACACTCTCAACCAGACTACTCATGTGGTTGGTCCCCCTAGACCGGTGCATTACATGAATAGCCCGTGTTCTCTTTCTCTCTCTACAAAAAAATTTAGGCGAATTGATTTAAATGGTGGCGTCGCTTTACAATAAACTCATATTTGTTTCGTAGCTCTCTGTAAGAGAAATATTAATTTTAATATCGGTATAGACATCATTTAGATCAAATTGTACTTAGTTAAGATTGAAATGGGCGAAAAATTACGTCTTTTAATTAAAAATAATACATTATTTGGTATTCTCCAAATAATAACTTTGAAACTGTATTTTTTAGCTATTTTTAGAAGTACTGGATGTGAAAATAAAATTAGTTTTATAAAAATGAAACAAGATAAAAATTAATTCCAAAACTACTACTTAAATTAAAAATAATTCAAAAAAATTAGGAAATTCCACCGAATTAAATGTTTAAACAACCATCAACTTCTTCTGCCAAACAGAAACCAAATCTATTATCGAACGCCTTTTTCATGGCGTTAAGTTTATTTGGCGATATGTTCTGGCTAAGTTCGACTATCTTTTATCTTAGTTGTTTTAAGTTGGTGACTCGCTCGAATTGATGCATATACAAATTGGTCTTTAGTATCCCCCAAAAATAAAAATCTAGGAGAGTTAAGTCTGGTAACCGAAGGGGCCATTTTACTGTAGTAATTAAAATTCTTAAAATAAAGAGGAATAAAGATAATATTTATCTCCTAACAAAAACTTTCATCTCTTGTCCGATCAATCAAAGACAACATTTCAAATTAACAACACGGTGTGTATGAAATTTCGTGTGCAGACTGCCTCTGATCTTATATACGCCAAACAAATCGTAGAATCCAAAATAATATTTATGAATATTCAATTTCTATTCGCAATTCCGATTCAATTTCAGATCTAGGTCAACACCATCTTCAGACAGGTCACAAAATTGATTTTGAAAACTCTAGAACCATAGCCCCCATTCGCTTCTATAAACCAAGAATTATCCAAGAATTTAGAGTCATAGAAATTTAAAAAAAGGCCAAATTGTCTCAATAAAAGAAATGACGGCATCCGGGTACCTCCGGCATGAAAACCTCTTATAAAGAAAATACCGTCAGTTCCATCCGCCAATCAAAATCCTACCATCATAAATGTTCGCGATAACCCCAGCGCCAATCTCCACGCTAATTCCCACGCCAACCTCCACCCAAACTACGTCACCATCGGCGGTATAAATGAACTGTCCGCTGTTAGTGATTACTGTAGTAGTGTCTGGGGGCTCAGGAGACCGGAGACAATCTTGTTAAAAGGCCCTCTATCTCGTTTTTTTTAATGTCCCTATCTGCGTTTAACGTATACTCATTTACGAGTCAAAAACAATGATTTTTATTTACGTGTTAAAAAATTTAGAGTGAAGTGTTGGTGACAATGCCCTTTATCCATTCAATTTTTTTCAGATTCCAAAATGAAGACCAAATAAATTTTTACCGATTATAAAATGCTATGAAATAATATATTACCATGAAACCTGCAAAAAGAATGAAATTAAATATGGATGAATGCACGGAAGAAAGGGATGATAACCTTAAATTATATCCAATTTTAGCAGATGACTTGATTTGTGATCCACCCCTTATCGATGTGTATGTAGATACTATAAGTGACAGTAAGAAAATAAGTCAAGTGATAGTTGGTTTAAATACCGTATTGCCATTAGCAGAATTAACACACTTAAAAAGAATGAAAAATAAAGAAATAATTTTATATTCTGCATCCATTCCACAAGAAGAATTGAAAAATATACTTGTAGAGAAAGGTTTTGATATTTCACATCCCTGGGAAATACAATAAGAATTGCACAGGTGTCAAAATTACCTCCAAAAACTAGAAAACAATTTGATAAAATGAACCAATTTTGGCCTTGTAATTTTCATCCTAATAAGTATCTAGAAAAACTAACAACAAACACTTTATTTTCACCAAAAGAGCTGGAGTCCCATTACCAATACATGTCAATAGCAGTAGATGTTGCAAAATATAAAAATAAACAAATTGGATGTGTAGTTGTGGATCCTAAAATCAATTCTGTAGTTGCTGTCGGCTATAATGATATAGAGAAAGGTCCCTGTAGACATGCTGCTATGGTTGCTGTAGATAATGTGTCCAAAACTCAAAAAGGAGGGGTGTGGATGAGCAGCGAAAATGCAGAATCTACGGTTGGAGTACCACAGGAATTACTAAAACACCTTCAAGAAATTTACGCCACAGTTTTATTTGGAGCACAGGATTTTAAAGTAAAAGATGAACTAACAGATCCTGCCGATGGTCCATATTTGTGTACAGGATATTATGTTTATTTGACTAGAGAACCATGTGTTATGTGTGCTATGGCACTAATACATAGTCGTGCAAAGCGAGTTTTTTTCGGAGTGAAAAGTTTAAATGGAGCACTCGAAAGTTTGTGTAAGATTCATACAGTTAAAGATTTAAATCATCATTACGAAGTTTTTGGTGGACTATTAGTGGATAAATGTAGAAGTTTAAATAATTTTAATGTTTGATATTTGGTTTGATATTTAAAAAAATTGTTTTTTTTATTGACAATATATTATATTCTTATTAAATTTATTCTTGTTATTACTGTTTTTTTTTATCACAAGATGATATACTTTTAAGTTGACTTCTTTACTTTTTTCCAAGAACGGTTAACTAGAAAGATAGATTCTGTCCTATGCTCTAATGTAAGAAATGCACTTGTGTTGAGTGTGACATTGACGTGGGGATTCGTGTCTGACATTTCTTATTGTTTTATATAGAATAGTTGTGCCTGCTGCCAATTTTTTTGTTATATACTAGAGATTTAACGGACTTATAAGACTATTTAATTATTGTTTCTATATATTTCGATCTACGTAAAAAATGCGTGGTAATAGATGTGCCATATATGGTTGTGACAATAATTTTAAGAGTGTAAAAACTAAGGACATGCCTGTTATTTTTCACAATTTTCTAAAAGGAAAAGATTTAGTGTCAAAAACTATAAGAGCTGAATGGGTTAATCGATGCAGGAGAGCCGATAATTTGAATTCTGATTCTGGTAGAATATATTCTATCCATTTTACAAACAATGACTAGGAAAGAGGTCTTCAACATTATCAAATCATCAACAACATCAAATTATTAGGTAAAATGCATTAAGCAATAAAATGCCTATAATAATTGTTTAAGGTAACTTATTTTAGGTTTACCTTCTAAACGCCTTTTGAAGAAACCTGCAGTTCCAACACCTTGTTTGTATAAACATACCTTTGACACCCTCTGTCTCTACTAGTGAATGTAGATTAGATGTTAGAAACAGACAGCAACATGTAGCACAAATTACAAAGGTTGATTCAAATATTTTGAATATTGCATCTAATCAACAGACTATTACTGAATCTGAAATAATTTTTGAATAGCTGGTGACAATATAGATTCAATGCCTGATCAATACTGATACCCATAAACTGATCAAAATGGCATATTATGCCCACAGTTATTAAAACATCCGAAACTGGCTACTAGATATTGGTTTTCAACTAGAGGATGGTACTATTATTATCAAAAAGCCTTTAGAATCTTTAATTGGTCTTACTGACCAACGGATAAGTCAGTGTTGGAAGATTAATAAAAAACAAATTGAATGTGAAACATACGATGTAAATGCCATATATTTTGTTTTATCTACATTTAAGGTGAGCTTATTAAACTGAAACAATTTCTGAATTGTAACAAAGTCTGTTTCAGCTTTTTGTTTTAAATTACTATACATATTTGCATCATGGAAAGTAGCTGTGTCATCTGCAAAGCTTATTATCTTACCTGTAAGGGCGAGCGCCTACCAAAGTGGCGTGGCAAGTAGCACGTAGCAAGTAGCACGCGTCTAGCATGTTTCTTAAAATGTAACCAATGAAAACTAATGATTAGAATGAATAACGTCACTGTCATTTTGGTGTGCGCTGAATCATTCGTTTTCATTAATTACATTTTAAGAAACATGCTAGACGTGTGCTACTTGCCACTTGCTACGTGCCACGCCACTTTGGTGGGCGCTCTCACTAATATTCGGTCTGAATAGATCATTGATAAAGATACTGAAGAGAATTGGTCCTAAGACTATTTCCTGCGGTACTCACTAGGATATTAATTCTTCCCTTACTAATTTCTCCATCTATATAAACATGTTGCTGCCTCTTTAGAAGATAACTTTCTAGGATATTATATGCAAGCCCTCTAATACCATATTTTATAAGTTTAATTAGCAATATTTTCTGTGAAACAGTGTCAAATGTCTCTGATAAATCTACAAATATACAAACAGTTGACCTTTCATTATAAAGAGTTTTCTGCACAGATTGCATGTTCAATGGATTTTCCTTCTTGAAACGCATACTGACATTCAGATAGTATATTGATTTTTTTTTTAAATTGTCTTATCTTAATTATTAACTATTGCCTGTGTTTGAGATTAGGGTGATAGTATTTCTTTGCCAGATTTGAATAGCGGTTTAATGGTTCCAGTTTTTAAAGTATCTGAAAAAATGCCTAAATTAAGGCATGCATTTATTATGTATGTTAAGGGTTTTGAAATCTGTTTGGTTATTTCTTTTAAAGTTTCAAATATAATATTATCATGTTCTGGTGACTTTGTATTTTAAGTTTTTATTATTTCTTCAACCTTATTTTCAGTCGTTGGAAATAGGTACATAGTATTAATAATTTCTGCACATTTTACACATCTCCATTAGTTTTTTGACATATTTTTGTTAGCATTTATTAGCCCTTCTGCAAAAGCTTTTTTAGCTTGTTGAATACATTTTGCTACATTATTTTGTGTATTTTGTACTTTTTTATCATCGGGATGAGTCTTTAATGATGCAAATACATTGTTTGTTTCATTTATTGGTAACGGTAGTATTATCCATGGTTTTTATATTTTTCTTTTTGTTTAATTTTTGTTTTGTTAATATTTAAGTCTAAATAATTTTGTAGTTTTGTAAAGAACCATTCTATGTTTTTATTAACATCTTTTTCAGAGTAAACCAAAAATCAAATTTTTTGTTCTAAAACTGACTTTAGTTTTACCGCACCACCTAAAATGGACCATTATTTTGTAACCATATTTCTTCTGAACCTTTAATTGGATTTTGATGATTTATTTTTCACATTGTAGGTATATTTCTAACTAATTACTATGTTAATATTTTTTGAGAAATGTCAACGTTTTACCTATATACGAGGTGTAATAATGAAGTTGTGTTTTTTATCTAATTTTGCAACACCCTGTGAACTGTATTAGAAATAAACACTACATGTTAATAATATTTTGAGATTGCTTCATTCTTTCTCCACATTTTCGTAAAACATCATCTTGATATCTCTATTATCAAAAACGAAAAGTATGTTCAAAGCATTACTTGATTTTCTACACTTCAAAATTAACGCACCAGCTTAACTCTATTATAATTTTCAAGCTATTTTTCTTTTGAATGCTTAATTTGATTTCGATGGTTTTTTTTTCGCGTTGCAGATCTATTTCTAAGTTATTACTGTATTAATGTTTTCTGGGAAATGTCAACGTTTCACCTATATACGGGGTGTAAAAATAAATTTGATTTTTCATCTTATTTTGCAACACGCTGTGGAATTTATTTGCAAACGTGCGAAATCCGCGAAAAATGCGGAAAGCAAACGCTACTTCGTATTAATATTTCGAAAAAGATTAATGTTTTTCAACATTTTAGTAAAAAAAAAATCATCCATATCTTTATTATTAAAAAAAACTACGTTCAAAGCATAACGTGATTTTATCGAATTGTAATAATCATTAATGGTAGGAGTTAGTTGGCTATGAAAAATCAAACAATTTGACAGGACAGTTTTGGACTGTCAATATTGTTTACATTTCAAAAAATTTTTTTTCTATTTTGCGTATCTCATACTGCAATAACATGAGTCATTCAACGTTTTCGAGCAAACAAACAACCATACGAGACGGCGTGGACAAGGAAGAGGAAGACTCACAACACCACGACCGTTGAAAGGTTGTGGTGTTGTGAAAGGTTAAACAAAGATCAGTTTATCAGGCTTCGTGTATGAGAGAACGTTTTCTAACAATGAGACATTTACAAATACAAGTGGCAAATGTTCATAATATTCAAATTAGTGGAAACACTATACAAAGGCGTCTCGCTGAACAAGATCTGCATATAAGGATACCAGTCAGAGCATCTTGACTGGAATGTTGATAACTGGGAGCACGTGTTGTTCACTGATGAACCAAGATATTGCTTATATAGCTCAGATAGACGTGTGACAGTTATTCGACGGCCAAGAGAACGCTACACACAGTACAATATACGACCTATTACTTTATTCAAGGGAGGATCTGTAATGGTTTGGGTAGAAATGTCTCTTACAGCGCGAACGGACCTTGTTGCTTTACGAAGAGGTTCCTTAATAAGTGAAAGATATATTACAGACGTTTTGTGTAACCATGTAGTTCCATTTTCTGATTACATAAGAAATAATTTTCTTTTAATGCATGATAACGCTCGACCACATGTTGCACGTGTGGTACGTGATTATTTAGACGAGGTTGGAATACAAACAATGAACTGGTCACCCTGCAGCCCTGATCTCAATCCCATAGAGAACTTGTGGGATATTATTGATCGCCAACTCAGGAACCGACAACCACCACCTGTCTTCCTTGACGACATAGAAGTTATGGTGAGAGAAGTTTGGGATGCAATTGATTAAGACCAAATACGCCGCTTGATTTTAAAGTATGCCTAGTCACTGTGAAAAAGTAATAAAATGTAGAGGTGGAAATACTCGTTATTAAGTGTTTTTGGGAGAGGAAATTGTTAAAGATTATTTAGGTTATGTTTTCTTAGGCTTTATTTGTATTAACCCATTAGCGTCTACAGTCACCATATGGACCCAGCTGTAAAGGTATTGTTTAAACACAATAAAATTATAATAAAACAGGTAACCAACATTACATTTACCGCATGTATACTTTATTTAGACTTGTCTGAACCTGCGTTGATGAATACTCATCAGTGTTTTATAAGATTTCACAAGCTAAGGAAGTTAGAAAATCGTTATAGTATATATATAGTTATAGTAAAAAGTGTTTGATAATGGATATCCGATTTATGTAAGTAAATTTTCAGTACCTTTTTTTGGGAATACTAGGATCAAATCAATTTTACTTATTTTAAAAGATCTTAAAATATAACGTACTGTGCATATTTTTGTATCAAAATTACAAGGGGCAGTTAAAAATTCATATAAATATTGCTGTATCCATATGGACCCACTAGGCGGTTATGTAGTCAAAACATATCTTTTTATATGGTCATATTTAAATTCAGGTCCTGAAATCAGGACCTGAATCCTTACGGATGAGGATTCAGGTGACGAAGACGAAGGTGGTGACCCGGATAACTTGAATACTCGTCAACTTCGTGCAAGTGCGGAAGTTGTATTTGCAGACGCTGAACGTCTAGGAGGT